TGTTCATCATTTCAAGATTAAGAACACCAGAAACTGTCTTATTTCTTGTTGGTGGCATACGTAATGAAGCTTGCGTTTTCATAAAACATCTTGTAAGCGATGGGCAATGTACTGTCATTCTGGAAATACAGCTAGACAACTTCAGTCTATCCACTTTCACAACCATATTGATAGTATTCATTTTCATTGACCTTACAATCAGTCAAATGCCTAAGCAACAATGCCGTGCAGCAAACTTAACCTGATTATTTTTGGGACTAACGACAAGTGAAGCAATATAAATGAGAGAAAACACCTACTGGTAACAGAATAATTATGTATTTGGATTATCTGGAATTATGCATTCCAATCAGCCTAGTTACGAGACGTAAACTACCCTGTTAGAGCACGCTGATGAATAATAACAAACGAAGATGAGATAACTGTACAGTGCTTCATGTCACTCATTGATTCCCCCCACCGAATGCTTCCGCGTCCCGCTGAAGTGTTAGAGCAGGAATAACACCGAATTTTCTTAGCATTCAGAAAAAGGTATTTTATTCTTCTTAGTTTGAAACTCGCCAATATTACCATATTTTAACTAGTTTTAGAATAAGCGTCTAAAATCTCATAAATTTATGTAGTGAATATTGCTACACATCTGTACGGTGAACAGAAATAACCAATTATACATCGGTTCTCTTCTCCCTTGAACTTTCACGTATGCATGCGCAAACACAACTGCTCAAAACTAGGCTGATGAGGTTCAAATAGTCTCATGCTACTCAACCTAGATTTTCACTGCGGAAACAGAATACATTAAATATAGACTGTATTTGTGTAAATCAAACTGTGATTTACACAAATATCCTTGTAATAGAAATTCAAGCATGGCATTCTTTATTATGCCTCACAATAAAGCAGCAGACACAAAAGATTCCTATCAGGCAATGATCATTAATGAGTTCAGAAGCCATTCGAAACCTGATGAAACAGCTGCTTCTTCATCCCAGTAAGGAAATTTTCAGAATTGAACTTAGTTCTCAACTTCTTCTAGAACATTCGTAATAACTATCGTCTGCAGCATTATTGGTAATATGAAATAATCACGACATTTCTACATGAATAAATAAACCAATCTTCGTTGGAAACGAAGTCAAATGCAGCACATTTTTCAATATACTAACAAGGAAAAAGAAATGCTCTCTTGATTCATATCTACATATCCACCATTACGTCAGGTTATTCAATCAACCTTCTTCTGAAAGGAAACCTACTTGGACTACAGATAACTTACGTTCATATCTCTTAAATTTATAAAGCTGTCAGCTCAGATATTTTACAACTAAAGTAACAGACTGAACCTAATCGTTTTATTTGTCAAAATAGGACGGTTTCACACCTCTGGCGGTGGCATTACAACAGGGTCATGATCGTGTGGTAAACCTCCTGCTGGAAAAAGATTCTCGTGGTAAATGCCGCCTGCCTGCTTTACACATTGCCGCCAAGAAAAATGATGTACATGCTGCCAACTTGCTGCTGAACAATACTGAGATAAATGTGGATCACGCATCAGCTGTGAGTATTTTTTAATTTATTATACATTTGTATGAAGAACAGAGGGAAAATAGGCAGACGCCTTAAGGATTAGACTTGGCAACATCATTACGATGGGGAAAATTTGACGTTGATATTGATAACCAAACTGGTCTTGTTGCTTATTAACATGTTTACTGCTAAGATAATTTTTGAGTAATTCAGTTTTGAGGTTTTCAAGACGTGTTGATTTCAAGATGTTGTTTATCCATGGTCTGACATCTATTGGAGAACCATCGAAAACGGGGCTATATCGTCCCGGCTTGTGACTTCTCTGAAGTCCACACCTACCCCATAGTGGATTCAACTGAGGACTACCAAGTATCAAAACTGGCACTTAACCACAACTCAGTCGCTTTGTCAGAATCCAGTGTTCACTATCTCCTACTTCTGTCAACTCACTGAGAATTAGCCTTGAGGACACACTACAAAAAGCAGACTTACCTAAGAGGATTCTCTCGCCGCAATTAAGTATAACGTGTACTTTTGTACAGACAATTGATATTGAAATGTCCAACACAGGAGTTTCTCATATGTTGTTGACAGTGGAAGCAACGTGATGTATATCAACCCCTCATATAACTGAATATGCCTTAAATATCTTTACATCTATAGTATTTGTTCTGAAATCTTTTTAAACACCTAGAGTATGATTGTAGTTTACTCACTTCACTTCTTCATTTCCTCTACATAGAGTGGATTTACGGCCCTGCATATTGCTGCGCATTATGGAAACGTGAATATAACAAAACTTTTGATAGAAAGAAATGCAAATGTAAACTATCAGGCAAAAGTAAGTTTATTTACATTGTATATGTAACCGAAAGGGTCACTTCTGCTTAGTCCACTCGCTAGTAACGCACAGCCTGATAAGTGATGTCGCAGTCAACTAAGCAACTGCAAAACAGATCTAGGAAACCGTGAAATTCTCAAATGCTGCACAAAATATGGTAAAGTTTTCTTGTTGACTGCCTAAGCACTCTAGCACTCAGGAGTGCTGCTTGTTTATCATTTCTATTTGAACAATTAATGTTTGGAAAAAGTGAAACTGTCACAAAATTAAATTGAGCTTTTCTTGCTGAAAATATCATGCAAATAAATTCACAAAAAACCATTCGTTGGGAGTAGATACGAAGGAAATGGACAGAAGGAACATAATTTGACCTGACAGAGTTTAATAGCTTAAGCTTTGGATAGATGAATTATAACAGAAATATTTCAAAATTGCAAAGAATTGTAATGAAACATTGAATTCCACAAGACAACCAACCCACCTAAAAGATAATATTTTATTAGGTAGTCATCCAGCAAGATGTTTATTCATGCTAAAAAAACATACAAGTGACAAGGAAAGACTGCCAAATAATCGTGTACAACTAGTGAGTTTCCAAATCAAGTCGGCAATCGATGTTCATATAATCTATCAGCCACAAAATTGATATTCAAACTTTTTTTATAATTCCCATTGTGTAATATGAAGGACGAGATATTCGGCGAAAAGACTTTCAGCGAAAATTTTTTCAGGCTTTACAATCGTATGTAAACGACATTCGAAAAATTACATCCCGTGATGATGACAATAACAACAGAGTGGATGGTGACACACATACATTACGTCATCTACTTCCTTATCATAATCAAGAATGTCCATGTCATCATCCGCTCTACTATTGTGTTTAGTTTTCCAAACGGTATATTATTTTTCAAGTATCATGTTAAAAATATTAAAACCGTTCAAAAAGGCTTTTCAAACGACAAAGAAACACGGATTTTGAGATTTCAAATTATGTTGAGTCCTAATTCACTGAAAAGAAAGAAAGGCCTTACTGTCGAACCAACTTGGAGTGTACATCAAAAGTAACGCGTGACACAATGATCAGAAGAAAGGCGCATACAAACAAACAAACCAAATTCGTCGTCCATAGCTTCCAAATCTTTGTCCTTAGCCTAACTGCTTACTTTTTATGATAACATTCGCTCCATTACTATCATTACCATGTATGAACAAGATATGTCTCGTCGGTTTTTTTATTTAAACATGCTTTGAAGAAGCGAATTCCCAGACGTAACGAAACTTTATAAACTTATTTTCCCACTTCATTGGGATTCAGTAAATGTACTACGCCTATGACTAGTAAAAATATTCTTGGGTTTAAGTCAAAAATCAGTCACGTCTTCCCTGATGTCACATCCTGGTATAATAATAGTAGTTAAAACATTTTACAGATAAGTAGTCACAAATAAACGTCGTAATGTCGAAAAAATCATGATTAATGAAGAAGTGAACAGCTATTGCTGAACACTGTATACTAGACTTATACACGCTTCAAAACAAGACCTTCAATTTAACAAAAACTGTACTGCTATTTCACCACTGTTGTTGTCCTCGTGGGGGCACATTGCTCAGGAGCCTCAAATTAACGTAAAGCGTTTGTCCAAAATCTTCTCAGGTTTTATTGGTTCTTTAACTCATGTCAGTCTATGATGACAAGTTAATAACGATACTTCTTCGAATTCGATATTATTTCTTATTGTTAATGTCAGAAAAGAACTTATTATCATGGTATTCTCATTAAACTATTAATATTACTGTTACTATTGTTACATTGGTCTAATACCTATATATTGTTAAACATTTCCACAATATTCAGAATTTTTACACCTAGATCCTTAAATGTTCCACACAAAAGACTACGCTTAAACCATGTACTGTTTACATCCTTTGGTTTTCAAACAAACAGGCTTGGCCGAATTACGTAAACATAGTTGGTGTGTTGTACATAAATTGAACTTTCTTCACTGGGGTTTTTTCAGAGCGAAATTCACATTCGCATACTCCATGTGAAACAACAGATACACTGAAACTTAGATAGATCGCTGAAAACATTGTAAAGCTACCTATATCTCAATAAAAACTACTTCATTAAAACATCTAATAAAAATGAGACGGTAGTTGAAAAATTTGTACCAGGTGCGTCAAACGATTTCGTTTCACATTCAAGAGGTAACTTTCATGTTTAACCACTCTACCAGCAAAACCAACTGTTTTCCATATACATGCATCTATAGAAATCATGCTGTCAACTCGTTAATCAAACAATTTTTGCCTGTTACGCCCACGGAAAAAGAAAGCTATAAATGAAAATTTCAGACTCATCAAGTTATGATTCTTGTAACCCACTTGAGATTACCTTGAATATAAGTTGCAGCATCAAAACAAAATATATGCTTTTTAGTTTTATTCTCCTGACATCAAAATGAGTTTTTTAGGCTACTTGATTTTATTGGCATTCACAATACTGAAGAGGAAACATCCTAAGTATGCTTTTGTCGTAGCAACCATATGCTTTGAAAGACAATATTGAACGTTAAGTTCATTACAAGACGTCCTAAATATTACAATATTTCTATCCTACTACATGTTACAGCCAAAAAAGGTTCTATCAGAGACTATTTATTTTTGTTAAACAGTAATGAATTGAACTCAACAGGTGAATTCACCATGTTTGTTTTTCTTCCATTAAATGAACAGAATTATATAACACCATTACATGTAGCTGCTAAATGGGGCAAAAAAGAAGTGGTTAACGAATTGATTCAAGCTGATGCCGAGGTAAATGCTCAAACTCGTGATGGTCTAACACCTTTACACTGTGCGGCTCGTGCAGGTCAAACTGATAGCGCAGAGTGCTTACTCAAACATGGAGCAAATTTATGTTTGAAAACAAAGGTATCTATCGTACTTTTGTTATCTTTGTCTTTGTTGTCTCATAAAACGAATTGCAAGTTAAATGCTACAAGGAATGGAATACCAGCAGCTCAGAATGATACAGATAATTGGTCATTTTCTAGAGTTTCCATATTTGCGGAAGTGAACTTCTTAATGGGGAATGTCCGATTACCTTTATTAAGCTAGTAATGAAATTTCCAAAACCAAATATAAGACTTTGCAAGCACTGATTCACGAACTCCGGAATTTTCGACAACCGAGGAATTTTTACTTTTCTGATTGCTATTGTTGGTTTACCATGACTTCTATGCTCAGTTTACTTATGCATAAAATGGCATACAATTAGAACTTTCTTGGAGAAAATTTATTAGCTCGTAAGAAAAAAAGATTGTGTCTTGGATCACTATAGAACGGGATGAAATTAGTGATACGAAATTTCCAAATTAGGACTGCTGAAATTTGACGAATACAACTTTGAAAATAAGCAAACTTTCCAGGTACCTTTTAAAGAAAATCGGTAACTTAGTCAAAACAAATCCTCCCAAGACGTTCGCAACACTTTTGTGACGAAAAAAGATCCTCTCCATTATGTTTGGTCTCACTTTCTTAATGTAATCACTAGACGGAATTCAGGTGAATGATCAATGTGTGTTTTTAAAGTTACGACACGTTGTTACGTAATTTTCGGTTTTCAGGAGCAAATGCGTTACAATGGGATTCAACACATACGAGGCCGAAAAGCCTGTATTACATTTTGGAATGGTGAATGATTCCCTGAAAGGATTTTGTTGGGTAATTAATTCCAGAAAAACACCAGAAGTGACTGATGACTGTGAAGGATCAACATGTGGCTGTATTCATCGTCAGCATTAGAGTCTCACCAGAAGAAAATAGCATTTCATGCCATTTAAAAACGAAGATAAAAAAATAGTTATTTGCAATTTTTGCATATTAAAGATGTCTTTTATATTAAAGTGGTCCGCATATTATTTGCATCACATAATCGCAAAATTATGTCTTTTCCAACTGAAACTTTTAATGAACGGAAAGAAGACTGCAGACGTGAAACTGTAATAAAAAGTCCTGGCCTGTGTAGCCGATGGAATGGAAAAATTCTGTAATATGTACAGCATATTGTAAATGAAAAATGATACACAATGAATTTTAATTCTCCTACTGTTCGGAATAAGATATGAGTATTCCCATAGCGTCTTGGCTTCCAATCTTCTCTGATTCCTAAGATGAAATATTTAGGTTCAATTGCCTGCCATAATTTCAATCCAGGCATCTTTCATTGCTGATTTACGGTGTCTTCAAATTTAATCCGGTTTTTCTCAAGTACTTGAGTGAACAACTACTAGCTACAAACTATTCAAATTTTTCACAATAGGCAGGTCGAGGTACATTTTTAAATGGCTCATAAAAGTATTGTCAGATGTAATTCTGTCAAAATGAGAAGAAAAACCATTTCATGAATGAGAAGTCCACTTTCATTGTTAACGTCACAACTGATCCCTTCTTTTGTATTGATGAGAAATTCAGTAACAACTGAGGAACAAGACACCAACCACCCATTAATAAAATTGTAGTTAATTTCTTAAGGATATTCGATTTCGAAGACTTATCTATCTAACTATCAGTAGCAATGGTTGTTTGCTTGTGTCAGTGCTAGTTTCTGCTTCCTCAACACATCATTATGCTATTTAATGAAGCCATCTTAATTTTCAGCAAGGAATGTTTAGTTTTCAGGATCTAGCAGAAAACTTACAAAAATGAATATTTCCTAGAAATTCACAGGTTCACTTTCTAAGGGTTATCACAGAATTTTTGACTGTATCCTGTAAATGAGAAATAACAGATTTCATCACTTTTCGACTAACCCACAGATAAATCACAATTTGTTTGTCGCATCTAATTTATTCTAACAAGTAGGTGAGAGCAATAAATGAGATGAAACCGAATCGAAAGTGTTGTAAGTCTAAATGGTGACCCACTTAACTCCCAGGGACTAATTAGGAAAATATTCAAGCTTTATATTCACTTTTTACTCATAACTTCATTACTTGCAAACTTCCTCTTACAGAACGATTTAACTCCGTTGCACATGGCTGCCCAAGGCGATCATGAACAAGTTGCTTGTTTGTTACTGCAGAATGGATCGAATCCAGATGACATTACTATCGTAAGTCATTAGCTTTATTCCTTTCAAGAATTCGTAATGAAATATACAATATTCATGGTAGTGATTAGGATAAAGCTGTCTGCTTCTAATTTTAAATCATGACAGCTAACAAACAAGGTTACTTCAGGGGTACCAAAACAGAATTCCAGTTTCTAGTTGAAAACAAAAGATTTCATAAATGACTTCACTACATGGCTTTATCTATATGATTCCTAACTGATGTTATATATCTTTAGTCACCTTATGACACGCGTTGAGCACTTGAAGCCTTGAGATTCTACCTTCAATACTAAGAGTCCCTCGGTTTCTCGCTAAATGTAAAGGCGGTAAGTTGACGGAAAGGATACTGCAATTTCAAAAATTAAATATGACGGTTTATATAATGGCCTTGACTATTTCTGGGTCCTCGTATATTACCATAGCCCATTTGACTTTTACCTTTTCAAGAAATCCCTTATTTACACGTATAGTCACGCTTTTTTTCTCGAGACTTTGAAGCAAAATGATTGCCTTCAAAATGTTTCTGGAATTTACGGCTTCTTTTGCGAATTTTGGCAATCTATAACAGTATGACAACTGCATAAACAACCAAATATATGCACACTTCGATAGTTTTAGCTAGAGGAATATGGAGGACACTTCTCAAAGCTGTTTTCAACAAACTGTCGTTATCACTTCCCCCTATAGCAAATGTCGTATTATTGGTCTTTAAGAACATTGTAAAATAGATGCTAAATTAACTAGCGATAAATTTAGACAGCCAAACAGTTAACTATATTCGACTAGAACTCAAATTCAGATGACGTTAGTATGAAAAGTGTTAACTCATCGATGTTAGTCAAATGAAATAATCGTTCGTATTCATGACACTGAGGTGTCTCATACCGTTATCATTCTCCTGTTTCTCACTTTACTGGCAGGTGTTTTCCCACAATGATAATTAGTTCGAAGTGAAATACAGTAATAATCCAGCCTGCCAATTAGTTTCTTCTTAACTGAGCAAATAATACTCAAAATTGATGGGGAGGCCAATACTTTTAGTCTTCGAGATAAATAGCTTTTTGAACAGCTAGTTGGATAAAATTAAGAAAATCCATTTTCTTGTGCTTCATAGTGTGAAATTTGGTAATCATCAGTATAAGTGATACAGAATACTTCCTTTACCTAGAAAGGTATAAATTCTATTAGTTATAGCTAAGTTTAGGGACTAGGCAATTTTTTATTTTGAATCACTATTGCATAATTGACTCCATTTAAGGCTGGTTAAATATACTTTTCAGGAAATCTTTAACTTTTACTGAATCGGATGAGCGGATGAGGACCTCAAACTGCAAAACTCAGAAGACAAAGACCAGTCGGTTGCTTGAAAAAAAACATCATTAATATACAGTTTCTTATAAACCTTGAAACCACTAGGTCAAAGTTGGATATTTATTTTGACTGGTCAACTTTGCGACAAAACTCTGAATAAGGTTTTCTCTGACCATAAAGTAGCTTGAAACAAATCTTGGAATCCAAAAGTTTAACCTCAGTGGCCGATTGCTTACGTGTAGGCTTCCTTTCTATCAAATAGGAATGCTTAAAGTATTTTTAGTGTAGTTCGATTTCTTGCTTCTACATACATGCACACTTTAATAGTGGTATATGTTTTCAACAAAAGTAGTTTACCCAGTATACATTATGACACAGCTGTCCACTAGTAAACATCCCACCTATCTGTAATAAATGCTGGCTACGAAATATCACCATGATTAGAAGCTCTCGCGTCAGCAATTAACTCCCAAGTCGGAGTGAAGTGAAACAATATTCCGGTCAGTAGTTGGGTGGCGCTGCTCAGTTTGTACAGCACCAAGCTGGAAACCCCATGCTCGCTTTTTGTATCCCACCACTGTTCAACTCCTAGTTTTACGTTCAGTCATCACCCGGTGAATAAATATTAGCAAAGTTGCTTGCTAACCAAAAACGATTTTTTGGTTAAATGTTTATTTATTTATAAGGATTGGTGATTAAGATGTAAAATATTGTATGGAAAATGGTAGCTGCTTTATGCTTGATTAAAAAACTCACTAACACAATATACCATATAAGTTAATGATCACCATGGTTGCAGGGCAAGAGCATCACCTCAAAAGTACTACTCAGAAATAGATTTTCTAACATCGCCATAGAATCAGCACGTGTGAAAGTTCTAGATTTTGAACAGTGAACATGCTAACTCGAAACCGATTACGCACACGTACAACAATTTTTCTTTTCAACATAGAATAACAAGATACTAACTTCTTCATTACTTTCAGAAGTCTACAGGCATTCGCATATATAAGCCGCTACAAACCTCTCTCTTAGAATGTTACAAGGTCGTTTGCTCCTTCACGAGCAATTCAACTATCATTTTTATCCAACTCTGTTATCGGAACTTGCAACTTTATCGCAATCACCTGTTCACCCTGATACAGACTTTGTTCACTCCGTGTGAATGGTGAAATGTTTTGTGCTATACTTCACAACATTGCCAATGAGGTGAGATCAATGCAAGATCAGCTTTCCGTACGCTATTGATCCATAACAACAGAGTTCTCTTAGGTAGTTGGTATTGAACACACTTTACATATAGTTTAATTCCATCCAGCATTCTTTTCACAAATAAGGAGTACAAGACACTCGGTGCCCCCTAATGCATGAATTTCAAATGAAAACGTTATACAACTACTAACAAAGGTGTTTACTTCGCCTGATACATCGTTTTGATCAGCATCTTCAAGTATTTTATAAAGATTACTTTTTCTTTTTTCTAGAATCCCACTGATTTGACTAGGTCCTTGGCTCAATAAAGTCTACCGCTACTCCCACTAATTATATTATCTTCTATCTCTAGACAAATAGTTCAACATATGATTACCATCACCATAACCGTTAAATTAAGTGTAATAAGATGATTCCCTTAATTGCTAAATTTGAAAGTCATCTATATTTTCTAATAACAAAAATTGCAGAATATCCCACAGCCCGACAGACGAAATCATTTCGAGGTGCAGTTTCATATCAGAATTCTTTTCGTCGTGTAAGCTAATAAATCTCCTAGTTGCAAATATATATATGTAACTATTCGACTAACATTCGATCACAGGATATTTCATCAATTTGCTGCTAGGACAACAACGTATTTTCAAAACCGATGAATAAAGTGTCCGTTAAAAGATATAACAAAATCAGTTAATCACACTACTGGACTCAAAATAATTCCGAATTTTGTTACTTAGTGCGAGATGAACAATTTCAGCACAATGCACATTTCTATGCTTCTCAGTGTGCTGCAAAATAAGTATAGAAAGATAGAAGATGGCTAAAACACAACTTTGGTAAAAGTATTTTTATATCATTAAGTAAATCAAACAGTTTTCGCACGTGTCTGTGTACCAAATACATAAATTGAATGTGATTGTAAAAAATGTCAACAGATTATTAGGATGAATATAGAAATGTAACATTTATTGTCAGTCTTTATCATTCATTCTCCGCTAACAGTGAGACTAGCTAGTCGCATAAGCGGATTTCACAAACAAATAGCATCCGGTTCCATTAAACTCATCTTTGAGGAGTCACCTTATTATTTACAGTAATAAATTTACTGCGAGGATTAAACGATCAAACAACGCCAGCGAATTTAGCTTTATCTGTAGCCTGGTAGGTGAGTTATTCGACCCACTTTCGCACACCACGGTACCGCAAGATAAACAACAATTTGCCAAGAAGCCTTGTTTGTAGTGCTTGTGAGATAGATTTATAAACAATTTCGGTTTCTCCACTGGTAGTTAGGACTAAATATTCTCAGGATTAGGGACATATGTGTTATAATGATGTATCAGACATGGATATCTCACCCCCACTGTTCAATAGTGCTCTTCTTTATTTCCACTGTTGTACACATAGGACTACCTTACACCCTTACATGTTGCAGCTCATTGTGGGAGTCTGCAAGTGGCACGCACATTACTGAATTCGCACTGTAATGTAAATGCAAGAGCTTTGGTAAGTCAAATTGGATGTATTAAATAATTTTTAAATATGAACATCACTTATAATATGCACTGAAGTGGTACACATATAAACTGAGATGGTATCAGTTTATCTTCTAAAAAGTTAAATAACTATACTTTCTGACTGTCTTGTCAGTGAACTTTTCAATCAGTATGCAGTTTCAAGTTGCCAGTAATGTTAGTGACACAATTTTTATAGTCTGTGAAGATTTTCTGTCGTCCAATAAAACCATAAATGTATGTACAGCCATTTTTACCTGCGATGCGGTTAAAAATCAACATTGTAATGAGGGTTCATGAGATTTAATGGTAAGACGATAATGCAAGCAAATAAACCGGTAGATAATAAATTGCTAGACAGATTTCTTAACAAACTGTCCTCATGGGACTTGCTGTGAGACTTTAAGTACCAAGGAAAGTATTGTTTTGCAAATCTACTTTCTCTGAAATCATGTTAGCATATCAATTAACGGATAACCTACCTAGTGTCTCTTATTCCAGAAAACTTAGAGTCCAGTTTCGAAACATTTAAAGAATATGCTTCTACTGATATTTCATTAGGAATATCAGGTACGTAGTCTTTCTGTGTGATTAACATCTTGCCGAATACAACACTCAAAATCCACTAAAACTGACCGACTTTCCCACTCATTTTTGTTTCAGACTCCTCCACTCTTAACATTATCCAATTTCTGTAGATTATCAGTGTTCCGTATCATAACCAACATTTTTTTAAAGTTCTGTAACAGTGTACACTTTGAAATAAGACAAAGAAAAATAATGCTACTGAATTCAATACTCATTCATGGTCATACTACTTGTTGCCAAGTGATTAAAATACGTTTATATGATGGCAAAATAGAACTGAGTAAAATTTTGTTATTCTTGGGTAACGGATGAACCGAAGGTATCAAAACAAACTCTAGCTATAAAATTCCTTAGGAACTGACACCTCCTACCTCTTAGTCATTTGTATAATCTAAGATGTGGATGATAAACCGTTGTGTGTGAAGTTCAACCAGAAAATTAAACACCTGATGCATCTATTCCATTGTTCAGGATAGAATAATTTATGCAAATCATTTCTGCATTGCTGTAAATGTGCTCTTATATCTTTACTAACATGCAGTCCTGACGAAATAATTCGTGTCAAACCGTGTTCATTTTGTTTAAACGGTTTTTTCATCACTTGATGACATCAGCCAAAGTATTTTGTATCATCCCTCCACATTTTTAGTCAATGTACACTAACAAAAGCTTCTAGGACTTCGTTGCATTGTATTTAATGAGCCGGCTTGTTTAATCGTGAAGCTTCTTCGTCTTCTTATCAGATGTCATCAGCAATCACTTCGATGTGAAATCTAAGACTATATTCAGAACTTACAGATGTATTGAATATTCCCATTTAAACATTTAGAAAAAGGGTGATTGAGCAAAAAAATATATTTCTTTTCAATTAGGTCTTCATCTTGGGCTCTGCACTAATATATAGGTTTACAATTTAATCAAATTACTAATCACGTGGTGATGTTTCGGAAATAATGATGTAAATAATCAATAGAGTTACTAAGATTGGAAATATGATTATTGATAGAAACAAGAACTGGAAGAGGTGTACAAGGTAAACCTAGAAGTTACATCATGTTGACGGCCACGGTAATAAAAGCAGTCGAAAAAACTTCTTTTGGATACGAAGGCTAGGTTTGTGAAGGTGGGTTGAAATCGCCTATGCTATATGAGGTAACCGAGTGCGTAATCCATGAGGTAAATTATTTGGAATCTGATGGGCGATTTTGAAGGCTTTTTCAGTAACTACTTGATGTTCTGTGTCAACTAAGTATGCAAGTATGGAGCTCTTTATAGTTCTGATTTGTCCCTTGTTCAACCATGATGGGTGGTGCTCCGAAATTCGAAGACATAATTACCTTGAAATACCATGTCTAGTTATCATAATTGAAAGAGATCAAGTATCCGTAATGCAGAGCAGGAGCGCTTTCTTTGTAGAAAGGTGTGAAACATAATAAAACATTTACGACAAGGATGCTAGGGAAATAGTACCCTACCTTGAACATGACAAAAGATTACTGGCTATGATCACAGAACTAAAAACATAGAAAATATTAACGTCAGGAATTTGATGACAATCATCATAAAAGTGTTTCAAAGTTAATATATTGAAATCTTCAAAAGATAGTTTTCATCATATATCTGCAGCTCTAGGATGCTAATAGATTTCAGATTCTGGCAACAAGTTTCCGCAAATTTTTTAATCTGCTATTGAACCAGTGTGATAATTTTCTTCAGAAATCTTTTTATCTACTTGATAAATAAGGCAGTTTCACATACTGATGATTAATCAATACAATAGCAAGGAATGAAAAATATAACATGTCAACCGCTAGAATATAATTTACCGATAAAACAGACATCAATTTCCGCCTGTTATCAAGAAAACTACACACTGAGTGCATTGCTTCCCCTTATTCTTTGCTAATTTTACATGAGCTTTTCATATCTTGCTGCATTTTAAGACTACGTTTTTTACTTCTTTAATTTCACCGTATGATTTCTCGATTCTAGTGAATGTTATCTGAGACTGCGGTGTCAACGACGAAGCATTACAACAATCACATAGAAATTCCTTATGGCTTTACTTCAATTATTCAGCCACACAGTGTTGTTCAAACAGCTCCTCATCTGAAAGTTTTTTTATTATCCTGAATATAATCACAATTATCTCAGCTGACGACTTCTACACTGATGTCTGTCTTCATGTTACTTCACTTTATTCGGTGAATGATAACAACCTTGTTCACCTATCGGTTGTTGACCAGAGTTAAACGAACTCATATAAGGATAAAAAGAAAATCAGCTAGTCTGAATATCCATCGGCGCATCTCAAATGGCTAAATTTTCAAGCGCGATGATACCTAATTCCCTATAGGTTCCCAGTTAATATTGGCTTTTCATAACACTTTCTAAAATTCGTGGTTTCCATCAACCTGAAACTCACTCAAAGTAGGAATGTGAACATTCTCACCTATGCGATTTAAATGTCCGTTTGTAACTGATAAAGTTTTCTGGAAGAGGAGTTTTCCAGTAAAACGATACGAATATGAAGTGTTACCAGTTACAGTGTAATGATTTTATTAACTTTAAGCACCTGGCTGTACTTTCTCACTCCAAGTTCAAAGAACACTTAAATTATATTTTAAAGTGACAGATATGTGATTGAAAAACATTTTACGTGTACACTTAACATAAAACATTCAAATAAAGCATAGCTCGAAAATCAAACGGTAAAGTGCAATAAATATCCAACCGAGTTATTATAAATGTCCCGGAAGTATCTTGTTATGACTTTTTAAAGTCGGTACGATTACATTATAACCCATATGATGAACAGTAACAGAAAACACTGATTAGCTGTTTTGCCCCTTTACTTGAGAGTTGTGATTCTTGCAGAAAACAAAACCTAGATGGTAATAGTAATCAAGTTAGCCACCTGTCACTCGAAAAAAATATCATTTCACAGCATTTGCTGTGCCCCTATCCTAAGATTGCAGTAACTTCCTATCTAATACCAGTAGTCAACCCATAAAGAACACTTTGATGGTTCAGCAAACAAAGCTATACATGATAGCTAGTAGTTTCTCGTGGTTTTTGAGTTGATGGAATTGATGGACCACATTTGGTAAATCGGCTCTTGTACGGATCTCTCAATACCACTAATAACTTAAGTCCAAAAGCAACGACAAATTAGCTTTCATGGCTCAGTAGGCTATGAAATGACGCCCTAATGTGTTAAAAGCACTGACGTGGTGTTTAAGTCCCCCAGAAGGTAGAATAACTCACTGGGGTGCAGGTGGATCTACCTGAGGAGTCCTGGATAAGATGAAACGTGCGTCGTTAATTTAACTCCTAGACACTGCTCATTGTTTGTTCTCAATAAAGGTTAGTTTTATATATATGTATAAAATAAGTTTTCAACGTACTTGACAGCAGTCAAGTAACTGTTATAATTCAGGAACACCTAATATACATATGACATTCCTACTCCCATTGTGCTTTATCACAATGAAACGAGTACCAATGGATCAAATTCCAACTCTCATTGGTTAGCCACATAACGCGGCTTCTGGTTTAGTGCTTTTCTTGTTAGCAACCAAGCGAGTTATCTAAGCACCTGGAAAGGAAAACCGTTTAAACTTCTGTTAGCTGTTTTTTGGACTAGTTACTAGAGATTAGACATTCACGATTTGAGGTGAAGTGGTGGAACATTTGTCTCTTGCATTCGTGTTTTCACGGTAGGTATTTTCAGTTATTCATTCTAAAATAAGAGGATATTTTGGAACTGATATTCAGTATAAAAACCGAAAGAACAAATCAATCGATTCTATTGCTTAAAATCATCTAAGACTAGATACTAAGAAAAATAAAGGCTGCGACCCCTATGTGTACGAATTCCAACGCCATACAACCGAAAATAATTGGTCGAGTCTGTAAGACCTTTGAGATTTCACACCATATCATGTGTTTTTTTTGTTGCTAACTCGATTTGATGCAAACCTATAAATACTTTCAAGAAACTAAGCCAATAAAGTGCTGAATTGAATGAGCAGCTGCACATTATTCAAATAATTCTGAACATAGCTACCATATCATATAGAAGTGTATAAGTGCACTTACTTCGTCATGAGAAAATTTTTTTGTCTTCATAGATCGTTCCATTTGTTTTACCATTTCACTTGAATTGCGCAAATATGGGAGAAGTCTCCTCAAAATAGAATGTACTATACTTCTCATTTTGTTAAGTCTCAGAATTTTCAGTTGACAAAAATTCCTGAAGTGTTGCACAATATCGTTTGAAGTTTTAACGTCATGCTATTCTATTGTGACGTGCAAATGATGAGTCATGTCTGGTCGTTAATGAAAACTGAATAATGTATAATTAAATTAACTCAAGTAGAAATTCAATTCTTCTCTGAAGAGAAAGCGGCTTCATGGAATAATTCATGGTCCAAATCTTATTTTTTGGAGTGACCGCGAAAAGGAAAATTCGTTTTATTGTGGAAGTATTTCCTAATGAGTTAAGCAATCCAACAAATTGTGGCTCACGTCTATTATATTACTGTAAAAATTAGTCTTTAGTCTGTATTAAATTTCATTGCACTGGAGCCGGTTTTTCGGTTCTGTTTTTATCATGTTAAGCAAAAGTTAAACTGGTTCGCAAATAATGTCACTGGGAAAAGTGAATTTTTTTTCCAATATTTGCAGAATGGTTTTACTGCACTTCACATCGCTTGCAAAAAGTCGCGAGTAGAAATGGCCTCATTACTGCTAAAATATGGGGCTCTGCTAGGAGCTGCAACAGAGGTAAATAACAATTTTATATCGTCACTATGCTTCCGTTTAGAGGTTTTTCATTTTATTTTGTGGGAGTTGTGGGGATTTGGAAAATTTTCAAGTTGTTATTCATCGTAGACTGACATCAGTTGGAGGAAGAAAGGAAACCTGAAGGCTCTGGACAGCCGTTTCGTCCTAGTATGGGACTCGTCAGCAGTGCGCACCTAAGAACCCGTCAGGAATCGAACCTGCCACCTTCAGGTTCCCAGGTCAGCACGGTACCATTGAGCCACTTGGTTAGAATCCAGTGCTCCATATTCTGTCAGAATCCCGTTTTGTTAATAATTCACGTCAGACCACCTCACTTACAGTAAGCCTACTCGATTCGTGGTAAAATGTTCATATATAACTAAGATTCCTATCTTACGATATTCGGAACTCTCCGCAAAATAACCAAATGCACACATTGACAAGAATACAACAACATTCAGCCACGTCCTCTCAAGAGATACAAACAGAATTTTGATGGTACACTTTATCACAAATGACAACAATTTCTAAAAATTTGTTTGAAAACATGTATTCATCACCCACTCACGCACTAATAATTAGTAATCAACAGAATTTCATATGAATGATGGGTGATGTTTAGCATCTTTCTGGTGTAGGACTTGTTGGCTGTACATACTTGCTTCGCAATTAGTGGTTGTGTCTCTAATGACACACAAAGCTACTACCTATTTTTCCAAACGCCGTATAGTTTTCTACTAGCTTACTAAGTTGTGATGGCGTATGATTTGATGCTTAAGCTCTCATTTTTATCAGACTGAAATTAGCATCCGCAAAGGAACTCACCCACCAATAATGCCTGACCAATTCGGTCCCATCAATATCGGGAAACCCCAAAATACTAAGTCAGAAGTTAAAAGGTCTTCATATTCGTCAGAGGTTGGTGTGAGGCATATTTATATAACGCTGAGATATGTATATCATCTTTATAAAATGTATACTGGATAAGCTACACTACGGGTTGTGGTAGATTAGTATAACTCTTCGAGTTCGTACTAAGTAAACTGAGCCAGGTGACTGTTAATTCACACCATATATCGAAGTACTGTTGTTCAGTAGAAAAAATGAAGAACGATGCTTTGTCTAAGTATTCTCTATTTGCCATATGAATCACACTATCACTGGCTAACATGACCAACTATCATGATTTGTTTTCAACATCACTAATCAGTCACCTTTGTGTATCCTCCCACGATTTGGTGTATCAAACAACTAAATAGTCTATTTTCTCTCCCATCTTTTCTGAGAGATTATACTTCAACAGAACACTTGAAGTCTTAGACAATTTTGCACTGAAAATAATTTCTTTAAATCCCCACTAAGAAAGTTCGCTTTTACACTGGATACAATTTTCGTCTATAAACTACATTGTTGATATCGTTTGACGAACTAACGATTCTATCCACCTAACCTTCCCTACTAGACTGGACTCACCCCATTACACGTTTCTTCATTTGTTGGATGCATACACATTGTTTCTCTTCTTCTACAACGTGGTACGAACGTAAACCAAACAACTTTGCGCAACGAGACTGCACTTCATTTGGCGGCAAGAAATCGACAGGTTGAGGCACTGAAAGTACTTCTCGGGTATCAGGCAAACTTAGACTATCGTACAAGAGTAAGTTCCTGAAAAGAAAATATGTGTAATATTTTTCCAAATTTTACTCAGCAACTCAACAGTCAAATAGAAATACTATCCCGAGAGTAATAATCGCAATGACCTTTGATAGTGTAACCATTTTCAGAATTTATTATTGAAAATGCATTTTTGTTCTGAAGGTTTGGAAATTCAGTAGTGGCCATCCTATAATCCTTACTCATATTCACAGATATAAATTCGGTTTGAATGCAGTTTAACTCCCTTACGGTGATACTTCAGAACTATGTTAATGCTAATGATGACAATGCTGACTACGCATTTGCGACAATGGGATACAAAAAATGCTACCGTTAGTAATTGACTTAAAAGCAGTTGTGGTTTACGAAAAGTTTTCCTTCATCAAATGCATAGGATCAAAAAACAACCACGTGCAACTTTACCAGTTCATTCATTATTTCTGAAAATAGTAAAATTTTTAAAAGGAACTGACTTATTTCAAACAGTAATCGCATTTATTATGATGAGAGTGGAGATTATTTATCTTTGTCGACATTGGAGATCAGAAACATGATGACTACATGCACGGTTTCAAAGAGCATTCCCGTTTTTATCCAGTTTCTTCCCTCAACAAACGAAGCTGAACGAAACAACGGTTTTAACGGAATAGTGCGGATCTATTTTATTCCGAGGTTCCTAATCAGCTTCTCTCAGCCCATTGTTGTTATACAAAACGTTTGTATATTTGAATGAGTTTGCTAGAAAATTGCTCTCTTGAAGGCAGAATATCGTTTATATTACATAACAGGAGACATACGAAGTGTGCAACCTGGATGTCATATTTCGTATCAGTAAAGCGTTTTTCAATGCTTTCCTATATCTAGGTCTAAACATATAAGTCCCAAACTCTTTAGAATCGATTTCTAGTTAACAAATCAAATAGGAATTTCTTCTCTGGAAAGTTTCAACGTTGGTTTAATAATACGGATTATTTTTTTATGTGGACTTCCCAGTGACTGGAAAACAATCTTGTTTCGTTTTTAATTTATGGGAAATTCCAATATCAAATAATTTATCCTAGTTTAACTGTAGATAGTTATACTATGTTCCCAGCTCCAAATCTTAAATGCCACTGGAATGTCGTTCCTTGTCTTTGTTGAAATCATTCATCCTTATAATTCATTTGATTTGATTCTCGCTACTTCTTTGCCTCTAAAAATATTAGAAAATGAAATGTGAAAATATTTAATAATTTTCAAGTCAAAACATCTTTGAAAAATGTCGTTCTAAATTACTTTGTTCTCCTAACATTACACATACTTTTCGAGCAAGCTCTTTGCACTGAAAAAATTATTTCTCACGGAAGTTTCATCTGAGGTTCTGTGATGTGTCATTAACATTTACTGCGTGAAAGAAAACAGGTTCTGGTGGTGACGTATGTCACTACATTCCACTGCAACTTGTGCTAATCAAGTTAAGTAATAATTGGGTAATTCATGACAGCATTGTGACAATTGACAAACATCGGCTTATTCAATTAAGTATTTAAAATGAGCGAAGAGAGAAAAATAGCTGTAAGCAATGTTCTTAAAGTGAATATGTACGGATTACATCGAGAGCTGGTAGTAAACATGCTTCCCACAAGGACAGAAGTCCTAATTATGAGGTCAGTCCATGGAGTTAATCTAACATGGAAATGAGCGAACACAACCGATCAAGCAGTGCCTAAATGTTGAAGTTCTAAATTGACAAGACAGTTATCTGGCTTTATAAAAAATTACTTCAACTGTCAACAAGTAAATTCGTCCGAAATGACCATATCACCAAATCCGCATTTGTATGCTTTCAAATTTCATAATAGGATAACCAAACGGCGTTGCATGTAGGTGTCCGCACAAACTATTTACCAACAGTTGAGTTATTGCTAAAAGCTGGAGCTGATCCTAATATCTTGACAAAGATAACTACTCGGCATTACATATCGCGATCAAAGAAGACTCTCAAGAAATTGTTCAGAAGTTAGTAGAACATGGAGCTGATCCAGAAATGAAAACAAAGGTGGGTTGACGCAGTATTTTCATTTTCGAAATGATCAATGTGACTGTTATTACCATTACTATTATTATTATTATTATTAGTCCCTTGGGTTCCTAGTGGAACATAGGGCTTCAGTAGCACGCCTCCAGTGACCTCTGTTCTCTGAGATCTTTTGAACCTGGTCCCACGACAGCCCAGAAGCTCTCATTTCCTCCTCGCACGACCTCCTCCATGTCACCCTCGGACGTCCAACTCGTCGCTTCCCATGGGGATTCCACTCGAGGGCCTGACGCGTGATGTCCTCAGTCGGCCTTCTCAGTGCATGGCCAATCCATCTCCACTTCTTCCTGCATATTTGTTGCGTGATAGGTTCTTGGTTGGTTCGTTCCCAGAGTTCCTTGTTGCTTATTTTTTCTGGCCATCTGATCTTCAGCAGCGAGCGTAAGCAGTTGTTGATGAATGTCTGTAGTTTATTGGAAATACCTTTCGTGACGCGCCAAGTCTCTGAGCCATACAAGAGCACTGACTTGACGTTGGTGTTGAAAATCCGTATCTTGTTCCGCATGCTGAGTGCAGAAGATCTCCACACTGGTTTCAGGCTAATGAACGCCTGTCTTGCTTTTCCGATTCTGACTTTGACGTCCTCGTCCGTCCCGCCTGTAGTTGAAACAGTGCTTCCTAGATAAGTGAAGGAGGTTACTTCCTTCAAGTTTCTCCCGTTGACAGTGATTGGAGTTTGTTGTTGTTGTTGTTGATGGTGGTGGTGCGGTATCTTCATCACTTCTGTCTTCTCTATATTCACCTGAAGTCCCGTCTTCGCTGCCTCTTCTATCAACTTGTTAGTTTTTGCCTGCAGATCTTCAAGTTTATGTGACATTAGGCATAAGTCATCGGCGAAATCCAAGTCTTCTAGGTTCTTTTCCGTCGTCCAGTGTATCCCCCTCTTCTCGCTGCCTACTGTTTGCTGCATGATCCAGTCCACCACAATAAGGAATATCATGGGGGATAGTAGGCAACCTTGTTTCACTCCTGTCTTCACTTCAAAGGCATCACTGAGCTTCCCATTGTGGATTACTTGGCATGTGGCATCTTCATATAGTTGTTGAATGAGGCGGATAAAGGTTTGCGGTACTCCGTAGTATTGAAGCAGTTTCCAAATTACTTCTCGGTCGACGCTGTCAAAGGCCTTCTCAAAGTCGATGAAGTTGAGGTGGAGAGGTGATTGCCATTCTATGCTCTGTTCTATGATGATACGAAGCGTTGCAATTTGGTCTGCACATGATTTGTACTTCCTGAAGCCTGCCTGTTCCGGTCGTAGTTTTGAATCCAGTGCATCTTTAAGCCTCTCCAGGATGATGCGGCTTAATATTTTACTTGGGGTGGACAGGAGAGTGATTCCGCGCCAGTTCTTGCAAGCACTGAGGTCTCCCTTCTTCGGCAGTTTGACAAGGTAACCCTTCTTCCAATCGTCAGGTACCTTCTCTTCCTTCCACACCTTCTGCAATAGTGGTGTGAGCATGTCCGCTGTTGTCTCTGCATCTGTTTTCAGTGCTTCTGGCGGTATTCCATCTGGTCCTGCTGCTTTCCCGCATTTCAGTAGCTTTATGGCGTTCAGGACTTCCATTTTCGTTGGGGGATTAATGTTCACTTGTAGTTCAGCGGCTGCAGGTGGTATTTCTGGACGAAGTGCAGGTGGTGGTCGATTCAAGAGCTTCTTGAAGTGGTCGGCCCATCGTTTCCTCTGTTTCTCTTCTTTTGTAATTAAATTTCCTTCTTCATCTTTTATTGGTTTCATCTGTGTTGGTCTCTTCCCTGATAGCAACCTGGTTATTTGATACAATGTCGTCAGGTCTCTCTTACCTGCAGCCTGTTCTGCTTCACTTGCCAGTGTTTCGTAGAAGTGTCTTTTGTCTTTGCGTGCACTCTTCTTCACTTCTTTGTCCAGTGTTTTATACATTGTGCTCAGTTCCTCTTGTCGTTGAGCATCCTTGCACTGGTTTATCTTCTGCTTCACCATCCTCCTCTCCTCTATCAGCTTCCAGGTATCCGTCGAGATCCATTCCTTGTCTTCTTTCTTCTTCCTTCCTAATACTGTTGTGCAGGTTTCTTTCCACATAGCTTTCAAAGACTTCCAGTGTTCTTCCACACAGGTTTCTTCAGGGATGTTGCTCGATGTCTCCCATTTTGTCTTGATGGCTGCCTTGAAGATCTCCTTTGTAGTTTCATCCTTCAGTTTCCGAGTGTTGTACTTGGGTTGAGGTCTATCACCAGCTTCCTTGAAGGCTTTTAACTTGATTTGGAAGGTTCCTTGCACTAGGTAGTGGTCTGAACCTACATCTGCTCCTCTTCTTGACCTTGTGTTAAGTAGACTGCGTCTCCATTTTCTTGAGATTGAGATAAAGTCGATTTGATTTTTAGTGTGTCCATCTGGTGAAATCCATGTCGCTTTGTGGATATCTTTGTGCCTGAACACACTGCCTCCAATCACCAAATCGTTGAATGCGCAGAATTCTGCAAACAATTCTCCATTCTCATTCATTTCACCTAGCGCCTCTCGACCCATGGTTAGTTCTCTTCCCGTGTTGTCCCCTCCCAGTTTGGCATTCATGTCGCCCATCAGAATTTTGATATCGCCAACTGACGTCTTGTCCAGTGTTGATTGAAGTTGTCTGTAGAAATCCTCCTTTTTCTCTTGCTCTGCATTATTTGTAGGTGCATAACATTGTATGATTGTGACCTTTCTTCCTTTTGAGTTGAATCTTGCTGTCATGATCCTGGAGGAGATTGGTTCCCACTGCATGAGAGCCTTCGATGCTCTTGAGGACATCATGATAGCCACTCCCTCAGTGTGCTCGTGGTTGGCGTCTGGGTGACCGGAGTAGATTATTGATTCTCCAGTTGACAGTTTGGAGAGTCCACTCCCATTCCATCTGCTTTCGCAAATCCCAAGCACTTCGATGTTATACCTTCTCATCTCCCTTGCAATCTGGGCTGCCTTACTGGGTTCAAACATCGTGCGGACATTCCATGTCCCCACGTTTACTTTCGCTTTCATCGAGAGAAGACACATCGGCCAATTGGCTTCCCGAAGGCTTTCACCAACTGGCGTCATTTCGCCTCTCCGATTCCAGCGGGGAATAAGTTTGTTTTCATTTTTTATATTTTGTTTGTGCTTTGAAGTTTCTTTAGCGGTTAGATTTGTTTTACGGGGTAGGGTTGCTAGCCCTATGCCCAACCTTCCCTCTTTACCCGGGCTTAGGACCGGCTAGTAACTAGTAAACTAGTTAACCAGGCGAGGTTATTACCATTACTACTTCTAACTTATTGTTTTTCAAAGATATATTCATTAGTTTATTTGATTTGGTAATCTGCTGAAAATCTTAGTACACTCTCTCCTCGTTAAGCGTTTGATTACCGCCTATGATCAAAAATTCACATTTGCTATGGCTAGTTTGCTTTTCTTTAGATCCCTGCAGCCTAATAGACACAAAACATCAAGGTATGAAAAATCACTCGCCTCGTGATAAACTGAAAAATTCAGAAGCAATGAATTCCGAATGAGTATGGGGACAGTTCTCCAGAATTTATATGGGAAATTAAACAACATTGTCGTCAATCAAACTTTTAATATACCTCAGTATATAAAGTACACGACTGACGGTGATTGCGAGAGTTCAAAAATCGCCAACAGCATGTTTATTCAATCTTTTAACGTTATAAAGTCTTTTCTGATGTGAACGGGACAAGTATCGAAATTCCACCGAAAACTACTAGTCAAGCCTACCTAGTGTACATGACCCTTGATTATCATGAATTAATTTCCAAGAAAACAGGCAAAATTTTAAGTCATTGATACTATCATAGACTAAACTTACACTTTTTCTTTTTTTTAAAGAAAGGATTTACACCCTTACACTTATCGGCGAAAAGTGGTTCAATCAAAATTACCGAACTATTGCTGCATAAGGCTAAATCTGATCCAAATGCGACTGCTCGTAATGGTTTTACGCCTGTGCACGTAGCGGCTTACTATAATAACAAGGATGTAAGTAATACAGATTTATTAAAGTGTTGTCTTCATCTAACTAATCTTCGGACAAAAATTATATTACAGTTTACCACATATGGTTTCAGACATTAATTTATGCATGAATTGATACCACGTCCAACAATTACAACTTCATTAAAACTAAAAATCTGAAACAGTAGATAGCATTTATAAGATATACGCTTATCTAATGGATGGAACAATAAATAAAACTGTTAAATGAAAAAATGTAGATAGTCATTGATAAATATGCACGCGGGAGCTGAGCTGCTTGCATATTGTGGCCACTGGATACCAACTATTCTAGTGTTATCTAGTCCTCACAGCTGACCTAATTCCACGGACCATTTCGCAAGGTACCTACTCAGCTACGGGGCTCGCAATCGCGATGCACTTTGATCTAATCTAATCTAACGTCTTTGCATCGCCTACGTAAAAAATGCAGGTCTCATGATGCTCAGGCAGATCTTATGATTCCAAACAGGTTACTTCACTTAACGAGAATATAAGAAACTTTCCTCTAAAGAATAGTTTAGCACAACACTCCTGATACACTGACTCTTAAGGGTTTGGTTCGTCATGCTAATTAGTTTCTCGTTTCAAGCAGCGTCTGTCGAATGAAAGTATATTGCAGGAACAACACATAGGATGATATTAATTGCAGAACAAAGCTGTAAAACATCTTCTGGCATATCATATGGAGCCTGTTCTTATCTCTTCTCATGCGCGAAGTAATAATTCAATTTTTATGATAGCAAACTTTAGTAAGCAAAATCAACTGATAGCATAAACTCAGTTTTACAAGCAAGTAGAAATCGATTGACCAATTGGTAACTAGTGAGAACAATTATTTACAGTGATTACTAAATTTTAGTTATCTGTGACGGTGACGCCCTAAAGCAAAAGAGAAAATGATACATGCAATAGAAATATCGATTTCATAAGCATAGCTTATTATTAACTGAATTATATATATATATATATATATATATATATATATATATATATATATATATATATATATATATATATATATATATATACCTATAGTTTAGTCCAATTGGAATGTGTAATAATAAAATTGAAACAGTCATCGATAATAATTCCCAGGAATATAACCTAGTAAGTATTTTCATCATGCAGACTACCACACGAGGGACAATACAGAATTAGTAACTGTATTTCTACTAACAGCTACACCACCGCAAGGCCCTCACCAATTAACAGTTCATATAAATCTACCTCACCTGTGCGGGAGTAACCAAGAAACGTACATATGATCACTATTCACCTACTCCTATCAATCAATGAAATTCACTTAATTTCATGGTTCATCTTGCCACACATACGGGGGCGCTTGCTTTTCATGCAACATTAGAAAAATCAGACTGAAACATATAAGCACAGCTAAAAAGATTTTGACCTGCTTTGAGTAGTCATGCAACCATTAATCGACAAATTCAATTATTTTAACTAGCTTTCCTAAGCGTTTTTAGTGGAACGTAGGGCCTAGGCAGGGCGCCGCCTCTTCACTCTATTCTCCGCAGTCTTATTTTCTAACCTGGTGCCACGACTCCCGCAAGCTTTCATTTCTTCCTCACACGATCTCCTCCATGTCACCCTCAGCTGGGACGCCCAACTCGTCATCTCCCATCTGGGTTCCACGCGAGCAACTGGCCTGGCGAGTGATGTCCCCAGTCGGCCTTCTCAGTGTATGCCCAATCCATCTCCACCTCCTTCTGCATATTTGTTGAGTGAAAGGTTGTTGGTTGGTTAGTCACCAGCCAGTTAGAGTTCCTTGTTGCTTATTCTTTCTGGCCATCTGATGTGCAGTATCGAGCGAGCGTAGGCAGTTGTTGGTGAATGTCTGTAGTTTGTTGGAAATGCCTTTCGTGACGCGCCAAGTCTCTCAACCATCACATAGAAGCACTGACTTGACTTGACGTTAGTGTTGAAAATCCGGATGTTGTTCACGCTTTATGCTGAGTGCAGAAGATCTCCATACTGGTTTCAGGTTAATGAACATCTGTCTTGCTTTTCCGATTCTGACTTTGACATCCTCGTCTGTGCCATCGCCGCCTGTAGTTGAAAAAGTGCTGCCTAGATAGGTGAAAGAGGTTACTTCCTTTAAGTTTCTCCCGTTGATGATGATTGGAGTTTGTTGTTGTCGTTGGTGTTGGTTGGCTATCTTCATCACCTCTGTCTTCTCTATATTCACTTGAAGTCCCATCTTCGCCTCCTCGCCTCTTCTATCAACTTGTTAGTTTCGCCTGTAGATCTACAAGTTTGTCTGACATTAGAAATAAGTCATCGGCGAAATCTAACTCTTCTAGGTTCTTTTCCGCGGTCCAGCGTATCCCCCTCTTCTCGCTCCTCACGGTTTGCTGCATGATCCAGTCCAGTTGACTACAATCAGGAATTTCATGGTGATAGTAGACAGCCTTGTTTTACTCCTGTCTTCACTTTAAAAGCATCACTGAGCTTCCCATTGTGAATTACTTGGCATGTGGCGTCTTCATATAGTTGTTGAATTAGATTGATAAGGGTTTTTGGTATTCCGTAGTGTTGAAGCAGCTGCCAAATTACTTCTCGGTCGACGCTATCAAAGACCTTTTCAAAGTCGATGAAGTTGAGGTAGAGGGTTGACTGCCATTCTATACTCCGTTCTATGATGATGCGATCGATGCGTTTGCAATTTGATCTACACATGAAATGTACTTCCTGAATTCAGCTGGCCAGCCTGTTTGGGTCGTAGTTTTGAATCCAGTGCATCCTTTGGTCTCTCCAGTATGATGAGGCTTAATATTTTGCTTTCCTTTGAGTGGACAGAAGCGTGATTCCGCGCCAGTTCTTACAAAGACTTAGGTCGCCATTCTTCGGGAGTTTTACAAGGTATTCCTTCTTCCAATCAATCGGCAGGCATCTTTCCTTCCTTCCTTATGAACGTTCTGCAATAGTGGTGTGAGCATGTCCGTTGCTGTTGTCTCTGCGTCTGCTCTCAGTGCTTCCGGTGGGATTCCATCTGGTCCTGATGCTTTCTCGCATTTCAGTAGTTTTATGGCGCTCAGGACTTCGACTTTTGTTGGAGGATTTGTGCTCACTTGTAGTTCTGTGGTTGCAGGTGATATTTCTGGACGAAGTGCAAGTGGTGGTCGATTCAAGAGCTTTTTGAAGTGATCGGCCCATCGTTTCCTTTGTTTCTCCTCTTTGGTAATCAAATTTCCTTCATCGTCTTTTATTGGTTTCATCTGTGTTGATCTCTTCCCCCACAGATAGTAATCTGATTACTTGATACAATGTTGTCAGCTCTCTGTCTCTCCTACTTGCAGCCTGTTCTGCTTCACTTGCCAGTGTTTCGTGGAAGTGTCTTTTGTCTTTCGCGCACTCTTCTTCACTTCTTTGTCCAAAGCAGCGTTTTACACATTGTACTCAGTTCCTCTTTTCGTTGTTCATCCTTGCACCGGTTCATCTTCTGCTTCACCATCTTACTCTCTATCCTCTATCAGCTTCCATTTGTTCATCGAGATCCATTCCTTATTTTGTTTCCCCTTCCTTCCTGACACAGTTATGCAGATTTCCTTCCACGTCGCTCTCACACAGTTCCAGTGTTCTTCGACACAGGGTTTTCCAGGGATGTTGCTCAATGTCTCCCATTTTGTCTTGATGGCTGACTGACATGAAGATATCCTTTGTAGTTTCGTTCATCACTTTCTGTTCTGGGTGTTGTACTTGAACTGTGGTTTATCACCAGCTTCCTTGAAGGCTTTCAACTTGATTTGGAAAGTAGGTTCCTTGCACCAGATAATGGTCTGAACCTACACCTGCTCCTCTCTTGATCTGATCTCGTGTCCAGTAGGCTGCGTCTCCACTTTCTTCACATCGAGATGAAGTCGATCTGATATTTAGTGTAAATTATCCATCTGGTGAAATTAAATTCATGTCGCTTTGTGGATATCCTTGTGCTTCAACACAGTGCCTCCAATCACCAAATCGTTGAATGCACAGAATTCTGCAAACAATTCTCCATTCTGGTTCAATTCACTGAGTGCCTCTCCGCCTATGATCAGTTCTCTTTCTGTGTTGTCCGCTCCGAAATCGCCATTCATGTCACTCCACCAATTTGAATTTTGATGTCGCTAACTGAGGTTGGATCTTGTCCAGTGTTGATTGCAGTTGTCTGTAGAATTCCTCCTTCTTCTCTTCATCTACATTATTTGTAGGTGCATAGCGTAGCATTGTATGGTTGTGACTTCCCTTCCTCTTGAGTTGAACCTTGCTGTCATGATCCTGCAGGAGGAGATTGGCTCCCACTTCATGAGAGCCTTCGAAGCTGTTGGAGACATCATGATATCCACTCCAAAACTCAGTGTGCTCGTAGTTGTCGTTTGGGTAACAATATCGGAGTAGATTATTGACTGTCCAGTTGACAGTTTGGAGAGAGTCCACTTCCATTCCATCTGGTTTCGCAGATTCCTGGCACTTCTATGCTATGTCTCCTCATTTGTTTTGCAATCTGAGCAGCCTTGCAGGTCAGCTTCAAAGATTGTTCGGACATTCCATGTCTGCATATTTACTCTCGCTTTCATCGAGAGAAGTCACATCGGCTGATTGGTTTCCCCAAGGCTTTCACCAACCGGCGTCATTTTGTCTCCCCGATTCTGGCGAGAAATAAGTTCAATTTTATTTTTATATTTTCCTTGTGCTTCGAAGTCTCTTTAGCGATTGGATTGATTTTATGGGGTAGGCTTGCTAGCCCTATGCCTAATGTTCTTTCTTTATCTGGGTTTAGGAACGACTAGTAAGTTGTGACTAATTCACCTGGCTGATAACATAAGTACTGTTCCTGTTTTCCATATCAGCTAGTTAGCTTTCTTTAGGTACTCCTTTATTGTCTACTATATAATATTTTGGTTACAGTAGTCGGATACGTTCGCTATCCCGGAACTGTATGTCAACTACAATACCGTTTGTATGCATTGAGATGGTCTTTACACATTACGAAATACTTGCTAGCTTTCAGTAATTTTGCTAATAATTTCATAACCATGGAGATTATCTTCATATTTTTTGCTTCGGACTATTTTAAAGGTATTGAGCAAGCTGATAGAATGTGGGGGAGATGTTAATCGACCTGCTCGAAATGGATTTACACCACTCCATTTAGCTGTTAAACGAAATCATTTAGACTCCGTTATTTTGTTAGCATCTAAAGGAGCTGCAGTTGGAAGAGGTTCAAGAAGTGGATATACTCCACTTCATTTAGCGTCACAAGATGGTCAAATGGAGATAATCAAACATCTTGTTGAAGAATACAAAGCTGAGGTAAACTGTGCAGCTAAGGTACGCTGGCTGACATTAATAAAAGAATATCTAATTCCTTATCGTTTTTGCTGTATATTTCAGAGATTTAACTTTTTTCAGTTGCTTCAGATTCAATTTGAAACATGTTATCATGTTAAATTTGAAAGGTTTCAGGCATTTCACATATGAAAGTGGATGTCAGTATCCCATGTTAGAAATTATCTATTCAAGCGGTTTCAATTCCAAACATGAGCGTTGGAAATAAAATGCTTTTGAAGTTATTCAGTGAAAGGTTATGTATGAGTATGAGGATGCAATACGTTTGTACTACATTTTGTCTGGTATTATCTGAGTGTAAAATGCACTACCTGCTTTCAACTCTATTTATGACTCGCCGACTACATATACCTACATCTTAGTGAGTGCTGCTCCCATTGAGACTTGAATCCGTAACTCAGTACTTAGAGCCCTGGAACGTTATCTTCTGGGCTACTGATCTAAGAACCACCTCTTTTTTAATGCCTGTCACTTGTTATACGTTGATACTCATAACATTTCCCTGTGTACTATTTGTTTAGGATGGACTCACGCCATTACATTTGGCAGTACAGGAAGATAAAGTAAATGCTGTCGAATATCTTTTGAATACAGGCGCATCCGTTTACTCAAAGACCTTAGAAGCTGGTTTTACACCATTGCACTCAGCTGCATATAGAGGACAGTTGGCTTCTGCTCGTTTACTTCTAGCAAGAATACCTCGGAATGAACTTTCACTGATGATCGACAGCCGTACACATTCGGATCAACTCCACTACATTTGGCGGCACAACAGGGTCACCTTCAACTAGCTTTGAAATTAATTCAAATGGGGGCAGATCGAAACGCTCGAAATAAGGTAGATTATGTATTTCAGTTATTTAAAACAATATGAATCCCTTAAGTATAGTCACATTTCGTTTTATCTTGTTGTCTTCACAAATTCTTCTGTTATCAGTTGTTCGGTGGAAACCATTACTAAAGGTTAGTGGTTTTTCTTTCTACAGCAGGGATGGACAGCAGCACAGTTGGCACAAAACAACATTATCTTAATCTGTCTGTAACACTCCAAGCAATCACAACCAACGTCAGTGACTGGTCTTTACCGAATGCAAATTGGACGAATGGTGATGGTCACATCGATAGTGACTTGAATTTACCCAATGGCTCAATAGAATTAGAAAAAGAAGAACATATGACAGACCACATAACTTCAGATAGTGAAGATGAAGGCGGTAAGAAACACCCTACTGTTAAAAATAAATTTGTCATATCATGGGTCCAGTGTGAAGGGAACAGATATGTCATGTTTATCACCCGTTTTAGCATTAAATGCAAAAAAGTTTCGTTTACTTATACTGCATTTAAAGGCCATGATAATGTAGACTAGGGATAAAACAAACTGTCATCATGAAAATTAAACATGAGAAATCGTCCACACAATGGTGATTGCGGAAGATGCTTCATGGGTCAACCGCAAGAACGAGAAACAGTTTCAAATCTTCATGTTTGGTTTGAATTTTCCATATTATCTTCCCCTGACTCATCAAAATTTTGAAGTTTTCTCCCTTGTTGTGGGGTACCATTCAGCCAACATACGTGAACAGCTTTCGATAAAAAAACATGAACACTAAGTTTTCCAGATCAAGGTATTTCACTTTATCATTTTATATTCGGTTAAAATTGAAGGTATGGTTAAACTGTTGACGGCGGCCGGATTGCAACCAGCAACTATATGCTTTACTTGACAAGAACTAGGAACAAAAATTAATAACCTCAAAAATAGGCGTTTTATCTAAGGATATACAATGTAGAAAAGCCTGTGTTTTCTACTGTGCCATTTAAATCGATATTCTATACAATATTACTGTAATCAACTTGCTGAATACTTATGATGAAAATTACATATACCTGAATGATTTCGCTAGCGTCCATCATGCTCGGTTAGGGGGATGGTTTTATTTCCAGTCGTACAAACTGAATGACAGTTTTAAACTAGCACGCTTTTAAATTGAGGTCTTGCAATTCTGAAAGAGACGAAAACCGGATCCACTTTGTGTTTCTTTTACTAAAACACGTGAATAGAAAGAGAGAATCTTGCATAACTGACGTAAGAGTAAAATTGGTTACTGACGCAGACACACAATGATAGACCCTACTAAGATTTTTAAAAAGTTACAGAAAAGCTTGCCTATCACTGCACAAACACCTTAAATCCCACTACGTTGTAGGACAGTGTGGCAATTCTAAAATCAGACATAAACTAGGGGGGAGAAAGATTGATCTTTGTTCATAGAATTAACAGCTAAATAATGGAATAAGAATGTTTTATCAGATTATCCGGAAAATTTAATAACTATCAAAATAAAAGCATGATTAGCTACTGGACAACATAAGGGAACTTCGAGAGTTGAATGATTACTTGACAGGAACGTGAAGAATATTTTCTGCCCAAGACATCCAGCAAATTATACGGCATCACTGTGCCATATCGGCTACGGTATGTTACCAAGTTACTATCAAACGACGCTGTTTGACGGATATTTCTTACCATTCTTTTATCTACAACCACAAATGTGTGTGCCTTACGTTACAAACCATATCTAACCAATGACATCAGTTTTCCGATCGCAATGTCTAGAAATATCACAAACGTATCATACTGAACATAAGGAAAACAGATACGAAAAATTCACAGGAAAGCTGTCAAGGGAAAATTAAAGATGAAATCAGTAGTTAGTTTACGCATGCGGAACTTCGGTTAACTGTAATTTCGAATGTAATATCATAGCTGATGAAAATCGAATACCCTCGTTTCAAAATAAAACGCTGCAGTTTATTAGCATTCCTGCATTCTCA